CAAAGTTCCCCACTAAATGATGAGCTCCACCGTCAGCCTTACTCACCCAATGAACGTTGAGGAATGGGAAGCAAGGCTGGGGAAGGGGTGGGGGGCTTACCCACAGCAGGTATGTCAGGGCTTTCTCCTCCTCCTTGGAGGGGTTTCTCTAACATGCCACTGCTGATAAAGGTTTAAGGTACGGCTCCTTCTGAGGATATTTTAAGTTTCAATGGAGAAATCCAAACTCAGAGAAAGGAAGGTGGGGAATGAAGGAATGAATGCAGTTTGGGGCTCGCCTCAGGGTGAAGATGCCAAGCTTGAGCCTCTGTCGAGGATACTGGCTACTGTGTCTCAGGGTCCCCCCACTGGAGCATGGAATCCAACTGTGGCTGTTTGCTCGGTAACTTGGTCATGCACTGTGTTCCATGAATTGCAGGTGAGGCGATGTCCAATCTTGAACCTAGAAATTCACTGAAATAAAGGGAGGGGGCCATAGTGCACCATTTCAGTATTTCTTACCTGTGAAACTTACCATTAATGCTCCTTCCACCTCCTAATCAAGGTTCCCAAATCAACCTGCACAACCTGCACACCTGCACACATTCAGAAGCATTATAAAAGCCTGCAACGCATCGATGCAGCGGGCTCTGAAAATAGCAGCAGAAGCCACAAACCAAAGAACAGACCTTTGTGAACGGAGTGAAAGAAGCTGTTTGTCCTGAGTTCATCGTTAAGCTACATACAACTCCCCACGATTACTAAAGTAACATCTTTAGGCAAAGATAGGGATCAACCCGAGGAAAGTAGAATGTCTTAATACGTTGGGTTTTCATTTTCCTGTTAAGTCTCCAGGGTTCTGATTTTCTTTGTTTTTTTAATTAAAAAAATGTTTATTTATTTTTGAGAGAGACAGACAGAGCACGAGTGGGGGGAGGGACAGACAGAGAGGGAAACACAGAATCTGAAGCAGGCTCCAGCACAGGGCTCGAAGAGGGGCTTGAACCTATGAACCGTTAGATCATGACCTGAGATGAAGTCAGACACTTAACTGACTGAGCCACCCAGGCGTCCCAGGCCCTACTTTTCCAACCAGAGCCCCAGGGAGTGGGAACTTACACGAAGGCAGGTAGTGGAGCCATTGCAAAGCACAGGTTTGAAGGCATTAGCAGAGGCCAGGCTCCAGTGAAGTAATATAAACCAGGGGATGAATCTTTGATGATGAATGGGTTCGCAGCATAAGAACCCATGCACTCCAGGTGTTACCTGACCCTGGACGCCACCCACATGAACATGGCTTCACTCCCACTGTAGTCCCAGTGCACCCACCTTTCTCAAACCGTTACTCATTTTCCAAGCGATATTGAATCTATCTCCTCCGCCTAATTAACTGCTACTCAGGCAGATCAGTCAGTTTCAGAAACTTCTCCATTAGACTTGAGTCTAAACCACACAACTTCCTGAGCAGTTTCACACGTGGAGCTACCTTCCCAGCCAACGCAGCACTTTTCTTGCATCAAGACTATCAAGAGATCAGACTCGAAAATACAAAGCACAAACTGGTGGTTGCCAGAGGGGAAGCGGGTTGGGGGATGGGATGGACAAAACGGGGGAAGGGGAGTGGGAGGTACAGGCTTCCAGCTATGGAATGAATAAGTCAGGGGATGAAAGGTACAGCATTGGGAACACAGTCAATGGTACCGTAATAGTGTTGTATGATGACAGATGGTAGCTCCACTCGTGGTGAGCACAGCATAATACAGAGGGTTGTTGAATCACTATGCTGTACATCTGACATTAATGTAACGTTGTGTGTTGACTATACTTCAATTAAATAAATAAATGTAAAAGAGAATATCAAGAGATACTGTTGGCAGTCAGACACAGTCCAGTCTGTGTGTTTTTGAGCGGCACCAAAGTCCTACTTTAATCTACCCTGACTGTGTTTAACCGTTCTCTGCCCAGTATTAGTGATTCCAAGGCTAGAAAATTACACAAAGTTCCTGCAGGGTTTAAGGTAGGCTGACAGATAAAAAGTCAGAGGGCAAGGGAACAGAGTGTAGCAGATGACTGAGAAGAAAAGGTAGCAGTGGGCAGAAAGAGGCTTTTTTTACACCTAAAGCCCAAAGCCCAAGTCAAGTGCCCCAAAGATGGAATCAAAACTCTTCTTGTTGCTTGGAAATGCCTCAGAAATGCCAAAGGAAGGTTTTAGTGGATCATTTAATATATCTGTTCCTCATCCCAAAAGATAAGTGAAATACCATTCCAGTGACTCAGCCTTTTCCAGTTTTAAATACATTCAGTGTAATGGAAGAGATGGGAAGTTCTCTTTCTCTTACCCTTTAAAGATGAAGCCAAGCAAGGTGGAGGTTAGTGCAAGGGCGGAGGGGTGGTGGTGGTGGGGTGCTGGACCCTGGCAGGGCCTCTGTGTGAGGCGGGGAGCTGTGGCAATAGTGATTTGGTGTGGGTGTCAGAATATATGAGGGCACTGGCCCCCATATATTGAGGACCACAGGAGTTTGGGATTGTTGCAAAAGGAAACTAAAGTACAGAGAAGAATAAAAACTAGAATAAATCTTGTGTTGGATCGGTACCAAAGGCAGTGATCTGAACTGATAGTTTTCTTTCTTTCTTTTTTTTTTTTTTAATGTTCATTTATATTTGAGACAGAGACAGAGACAGAGACAGAGACAGAGCGTGAGCAGGGAAGGGGCAGAGAGGGAGACACAGAATCTGAAGCAGGCTCCAGGCTCTGAGCTGTCAGCACAGAGCCCGACGCGGGGCCCAAACCCGTCACCCGTGAGATCATGACCTGAGCCAAAGTCAGATGCTCAACTGTCTGAGCCACCCAGGCGCCCCAGAACTGATGGTTTTCAACATGCAGTAGTATAAAAATACAGATGCAAGTATGTGTGTGTGTACCTACAAGCAAATATCTTGGCGCTCCATCCACTCAGGGGGCTGGGAACGGGCACATACCAGGAGCAGTGAGCACACTCAGCTTGGTTTCTAAATACCTTTCTGCACTAAAAGAAACCAGCACCTCTTGGGGGGAAGTGCTGGATTCAGAAACTGTAAAATAAGCTTGGAACAACTTGTGCTTGAAGTGCTCTGAGAATCGTGGGGACAGTCACAAGATCACAGAAGCATTTGAAGAGGCTCCCACTGGCCAAATCTGGGGTAACAGGAGCACCAATGACAGTAGATGTAATAATCACTAAATAAAACAGAAATCTGAATCCAGATTAAGAGAAGTAAATGAATAGGAAAAAAAAGCTTTCCTTACAGAACCAATATATGGAGAAAAAATGGTAGGGTTAGGAGACACTCACAGGCTACCATCATAGTAATTCAGCCAAGAAATTGGAACACAGATGCCAAATGGAGGGTAAAGATTGATGAGGAATGGGTGATTTACCCGATTTCAAAGCATTACCCTATGAAATACTTATTAGTAACTTTTCAGTGGAGAAAAACAGCAGATACCACCTCAATGAAGTGTTCAAGGTTAACATTACCAATAACAGGGTAATTCAAAATCGATTCCCTGATAGAATGTAATGGGAAGAGCACAGCATCACTCAGTGTTCCTGCCAGAAATGTCATTTGAACCAAATCATGAGAAAGCATCGACGAACCCAAACGAGGGACAGTCTGCAAGATAGCCTGTGATCTTCAAATGTCAAGGCCATTGAAACACGCCTGGGTTGTTCAGAGTATAGGGGACTGAGATAGGACTACTAAATGCAACTTTTTTTTCTGGTGATAGGTTATTGGGACCATTGGGAAAACGTGGTTATCTGTGGATGTTTTCAGATTTCTACTTCTGATGGATTTATTTGGTGATAGAATGTCTTGGGGTGCCTGGGTGGCGCAGTCGGTTGAGCGTCCAACTTCAGCCAAGTCACGATCTCGCGGTCCGTGAGTTCAAGCCCCGCGTCAGGCTCTGGGCTGATAGCTCAGAGCCTGGGGCCTGTTTCCGATTCTGTGTCTCCCTCTCTCTGTGCCCCTCCCCCGTTCATGCTCTGTCTCTCTCTGTCCCAAAAATAAATAAACGTTGAAAAAAAAAAATGTCTTTAGTTATAGGAATTATACATGAAAATATGCAGGAGAGTTGGGACATCACCTTGCAACCTATTCTTAAAAACTATTCTGAAAAGAAAATGGGACTATTCTTGCAATATTCTTGGTAATTGGTACTTTCTTTACGTTTGAAATTAAAAAAAAAATTGCTTGTTTCTTATCACATTTCCACATGTAATACAATGATAAAAAGCAATTATGGGAATATTTGAGTTGAACATGCAAAACATAGGAAGAACTGAAAATTCTTTATTTGGTAAAAATTAAGAATACATTGTATAACTTATGAACCACCAAGAGGGAAACATGTAGGAGTGGTAACTGAAAAAAAGCAGAACATAAAAAAAGCAATACTGATGATGATCATTTTCAGTTGTACAGTCATGTGGCTAAAATAACGTTCTCTCAATTCCTTTTGTGTTAAACAGTTAAGGGCACAATAAAAAAAACGAGACAAGTTTGCTAAATGTCAAGATCTTTTTTTCCCATTACTTATTTATTTTTTAAAATTTACATCCAAGAAAAGTCTAGATCGCTTTACTGTTTGAGAAATAGGTTACTTAGAGGGGGAACAGTGTCTAAAATTCCACAGAACTAGAGTTAAGTGGAGACCATGACTAAATAAACACATAACAAGGACATGTTTTGATTCTCTTTAAAGCAGTAATTTTTTTTAATTGTTTATTTTTGAGGGGGGGGAGGGCGCCCGGGAGACAGAGCGCCAGTGGGGGAGGGTCAGAGAGAGAGGGAGACACAGAATCTGAAGCAGGCTCTAGGCTCTGAGCAGTCAGCACAGAGCCCGATGTGGGGCTTGAACTCGTGAACTGAGAGATCATGACCTGAGCCGAAGTCAGATGCTTAACTGAGCCACACAGGTGCCCCTAAGGCAGTATTTTTGAGTCAGGAAAATATCCAAAGAAAGAGGATTCTTCTTGACGTGCTTCTCGCTGAACAAGACCTTTATTCACCGTATATATCAAACTGCCTAGTCCAGATATTTGAACTCCGAAATAATTTAATGCAACTCACAGTCAGATGATACTTTATCATGTATAATACTTCCACATGGAAATAAATTCTTGACGCCTTTTGAATTCACGATTCCCATGAAATTTTAGTTATGATAAATTACAAAATGGCAAAAAAGATTCTTTGATATCTCAAAGTAAGAAAAAACTTAGGAAAGTACATATTAAAGGCCTTCCCAAATTGGAAGGACAATTATTAGAATCTTGATAAAAAGCAATTTTTTCTAGGTTTAAGGTTCAAGTCTGAATCCTTGGACTTTCCCACATGTTCTTTTTAAAAAGCTCCAATGAGCTCACGCGTCAGGAGCAGGTGCCACTCAGCCAGCGCTGGACAGAAGAGGCTTGCGGTATTTGCACTGAATCCAGACTCGGTACATGGTCAGCTGTTTCCCTCGGTTCACTTGCAATCGGCGATCCACCAGGTTCTGAACCTTTTCCAGTCCAGCCGTAGTGAAAAGTGTATCCAGCTCATCTGGTTCGGAAAAGAGATGTTTACATATTTTCCGCTAAAGAAAAAACATGGTCCACCACTTCCTATATTAAATGGGGCTCCGTGAGACTGTTTTTATTTATGTATTACAAGTGGCTTCAGCAGGGCTGTTTATTTAGAAGTGTAGGAGCAGCTTGGTAATATTAAGTTCATGTTTAAATGGGGGAAGCCAAACCTTCTGGCAAGGGCCCCTTGGAATCCAGAGGGAGAGCCTTAGAGCTGACAGGGAAGAATTTTCAAGGGCTTTATGGACACCTTAAGGTTATATGCAAAATTTCTATGCACGTAATGTCAAAGCCACTTTTTTAGCAGAGTTTCCACTATATTTTAATCAACAGCTCAAAGAAGTATGTGGCACAATAAAGGGCCCAAGGATGGCACTGGTGGGGGAGGAACCCCGAGGCAGGGCAAGCCGCAGAGGAGGGCAATTCTGGATTACACCTGGGAGCTGGGGCACGGGGAGCACAGCCTAATTCTGGCGCACCTACAGGACAACCCGGCTTACAGGGCAAAACCAGCTGCCCTGGGGTCTTGCCGAAGGGGCAGGTTTTCCATTTGGGACAAAGCGACAGGGAGGAAGCACAGACAGTCGAGGAGCAAAGCAGAGGACTGAAGGCTCCTGTAAGTGGAGCCCGTGTAGAGAACAGTGAACCGTTCAGGTGGCCTGGAAAGGCAGGAAAAGTCTTCAAAAGGCAGAAGGGGCATGACAGTTTTACTTCCGAGACTGTATCAAGCAACATTTGATCTGGTGTTTGGGGGACTGTTAGCATGAAGAAAGAGGAGCGTTTCCATACCTTGTGTGAAGAAGTAAACTCTAGTACCATCGCCTCTCACGTAGAAATTTTCAGACAGACACTGACCTGTGGGGCGATGTGATAAACATCAGAGACTTTAAAGCACTTCCTTGAATTTCACTGCCAATCAAACGTACATCGTGATACCATTTCTTGGGCAGAGAACAGAATCCTTTCTTGGTTGCTCTGGGCACGTTGCAGGAATCTTCGGAGAAGAGGACCCCAAGGGGAGTGATCGAAATGCAATGTTACGTCACACATGTGAACCTCAGCCTTCTGTTCTAGAGTTGTTTCGTGTTGGAAGGTGTTTTCCCCCCTCCCTGACTACATAAATACCACATACTCTTTGTAAAACAAAAGTAAATAAATAAAAGCCAGGGACCATAGCTGAGTCTGAGGAAAGGAAACTTGAGATAGACACCATGACCATTTCCCATGTCTGTCCACGTGCCCACACTCGTTCACAAGTACAAGACATACGCTGTTTTGGTTATGGACGCTCTCCCTTCAGCCGCCAAGCCCTCTGACCTAACGTCAATTTACCAACCTGGTACGTCGCCCCTCTGTACCTTCTGAATGCCAATATGATCTTACTTGCTTCACTTCTGCTTATTTCTCTCCAGCTACTCTTACATGTGGGGTCAACTTTAAAATACTTGTCTGTACACTGCTCTTCTCATCTGGGAATGCAGAACGGAAACCCTTCCAAGACCAACAGTAAGGGATCTACCCCACGCGGCAGGCACAAGATTCCCCTCTCCAGAGGCATTCACTTGGTTTTCGAGATTTTGCTTACATATGTATTACATGCTAGTTCTTGAGGAATTCCCGAAAGGACTGTTAGACTGAGTCAATAGCCCCAGTGTGCTCAAAAAACCCAGTAGGCGCCTGGGTGGCTCAGTCGGTTAAGCACCCTGCTTTGGCTCAGGTCACAATCTAACGGCTCGTGAGTTCAAGTCCCACATCAGGCTCTGTGCTGACAGCTCAGAGCCTGGAGCCTGCTTCGGATTCTGTGCCTCCCTCTCTCTCTGCCCCTCTCCCACTCACATTCTGTCTCTCTCCTTCAAAAAAAAAAATCTTAAAAACAAAAACCATTAATGGAGAAGCATAGCTCTTTTCGGGAGTTGGCAGAATAAAGAAGTGGTCATCTCATCCTAATTTTTGTTACCCTCAAGTTTGTTTTTGGTCATTTGGATATGTTCTTCTGGGAATCAAGTCTAAAATTTTCTTCCCTGTGTTTTGGGTGGGTTCCTGATCTTTTCCCTATCAACATACCAACAGTCCCCGAAGAGCACAGATAATAATGCAGTCTTTATCTGTTCTATGCACGGAAATTATCGGTCTTTAAACTGTTTTAATGGTACCTTTGGCCATACTTTGTTTAAAATTATTCATGTAATCGAATGTCTTTTCTAAAACTAGCTCTTCTAAATGCAGCGGTCTTGGTTTTAAAGATTTGCCCAATACCTAGATCACACAATCTTCAAAAACATACCACCTCTGTCATGTATTAAATGATTTCATATTGGAGCTGTAACTCTAGGTTTCTAATCGATTTCACGGATTTATACATCTATTCGGATGGCCAATCTGTTGTTTTGCTTACAGTAGCAAAATATGTTTTATTTTATTTTATTTTTAAAGTTTATTTATTTATTTGGGGGGGGGGTGCAGACAGAGGGAGAGACAGAATCCCAAGCAAGCTCTCTGCTGACAGCAGAGAGCCCAATGCAGAGCTCGAACTCATGAACCATGAGATCATGACCTGAACTTTTAAGTTGGACGCTTAACCGACTGAACCCCCCAGGTGCCCCCATGATACCTTTTTTATTTTTTAGTTATTAAAAAAATTTTTTTTAATGTTCATTTATTTTTGAGAGACAGAGATAGAGCACAAGTGGGGGAGGGGCACAGAGAGAGAGAGAGAGAGACACAGAATCCAAAGCAGGCTCCAGGCTGAGCTGTCTGCTCAGGGCCCATTGCAGGGCTTGAACTCACTAACTGCGCCATCATGACTTGAGCCGAAGTTGGACACTTAACTGACTGAACCCCCCAGGTACTCCCATGGTACCTTTTTTAAATCGAAGCTGAGCCATGTCGTGGCGGCCATAATCTCGCAGAAGCATCATCCCTCCGGGCTTCAGAAGCCTGCTCAGCCTGTTGATAGCCTTCTGCATCCTGTGGGGCAATAGAGAAGCAAGATCAGGTCTCCTTAAGGACAGGGTCCCTTCTCCTTGTAGCACGTCTGGAAGAGCCAGTGGACTTCGTAACCCTGGTGACACATGGCCCCTGAAATCTTAGCTCCTCTGCTCTCCCTTCAGATGAGAACAGGAGCATGTGTCTGAGCTTCTGATGTGCCTTCTGTGGTCTGCTCACAACTGTGGCTTCGACCCAGTCCCTTCAGTATGAAGAGGCCCGAGGACAACCTGCTTCTGCTGGAGAGTTCGACCATGGGCCAAATTACATACTCTGCATCTGGCTCACCGCCCACTCCTGTGATTACTTCCCAGGGAAGCCGCCCCTGGCCTGTGCGCCTGTGCCTCTCTGGGCGCCACGCTGAAAACCTGCAGTGAGGACTACTAGTCGGTGGACTCCTCTGCCTGCCCCCCCAGGCCCGAGCTCTTTGTGCGCAGAGACTGTGTCTTTCCATTTGTTGAAGATCAAACCCTAAGAACTTGCAATTTACAGGGTGAGTCAGCATGCAAATGAGCACCTCGGCAGAGAGCTTTCCATTCTGACTGCACTTTCCATACACAGTCCTCGTGGGGGTTTCGGCTGTGCTAACCTCAGAAGTATAAGTGCTACACAGTCTATTTAAATAACTGAATAATGAATTTTAATTCTAATGTTTTGTTTCAGTCCATGTCAGTTTTTAAGTCTATAGCAGTTAAACTTCTGCTGTTTTAAAAAAAATCTATCTAGTAAACTCTACCCTCAATGTGGGGCTTGAGCTCATGACCCTGAGATTGGGTCACATGCTCTACTGAATGAGCCAGCCAGGTGCCCCTGAACTTCTGCAGTTATTAATGTTTAGAAGCATGCCTGGCTTTTGGGCTGTCCTGCATCTGCCTTTATCCACACTCACAATGTCCGTGTTAGGTCAGATGACTCAGTGCCATCCTAAAGGAAATGGGAGCTAGAGAAAATCAATCACTCCTCTGGGTCTTTGGCTGATGCTGCTTCCTGAGGACAGTACTTCATCAGGACAGCTGGTTGCCCATGTCTAAGAAGTTTTTTTTTTTTTTTTTTTTTTTTTTAGGGGGGGAAGTGAGCATGGGCGCGGGGGTGGGGGTGGGGGTGGAGTACAGGGAGAGAATCTGAAGCAGGCTCCATGCCGAGCGAGGAGCCCCTCATGCTCGATCTCATGACCCTGAGGTCATGACATGAACTGAAATCAAGAGTCGATGCTTAGCCAACTGAGCCACCCAGGCGTCGCTAAGAAGCTTTAACAGCATCTTTTAGAGTTCAGCAACTGACTTTCCTTTCATCTAAACTTTATTTTATGGAGTTCTCTTGTAACTGCAGTTTTCCAAAGAACTTAAGCATAAAGGAACACCTGAGTTAAGGTTCACCATAAATTCTGTGTTGTTAATAAGCTTGGTTTACTGCAAGCATTTAAAAAGGCCAATGAAGGGTGACTGGCTAGCTTAGTGGGTACAGTGTGTGGCTCTTGGTCTTGGGGTTTTGGGATCGAGCCCCACGCTGGGTGCAGAAATTACTTAAAAGAAAAATTAAAAAAACACAGCCACTAAAGACTTCTCTCCCATTCCTTAGGGATCTTAAACCAGAACAATGACCAATCACTGCAGTCAACAGGCAGAGGTTTAGAGGCTGAAAGAGAAGTTGGGAACTTGCAAATCTGGGAAAAGGGATGAGACACTCGTAACACTTTGACAGAGTGGCTTTTCCCTGCCTATCAGAGGATCCTTCTTACTCAGGGCCCAACTTTGATGAACGCTTTGTTTTTGTTACACTGCTGGTGAAAGGACCTCACACTTACTTGTCTGGCACAACGGCAGAAAGAACAAATATGAGGATGATGATATCAAGACTACTCGTGGGCACTGGGTAACTCTGATCTTCATCACACAGGTCGTGAACAAAGGCAAAACACCGGCAGGGATCATATGCTGAATTTGTCTGCAGACAGTTGAGAGACACACAGGTTAGAAAATGTTCTCTCTCACACACACACAGATGCGCACACACACACATTCACACGGCCTCAAGGAAATCTTATCTTGCTTTAAGTGTAACTGCAGCTACTGCCCACTGAGGGTTATCGGTCTAATCATGAAGGCACGCAATCTTATTCAAAGGTTAAGATTCTTGAACGATTCCAGAGAGGAGCTTGTGGAATCCAACTGGTACTTTTGTTTATTTATTTCTAAAAGATTTTAGTTTTGGGGCATCTGGGTGGCTCAGTCGGTTGGGTGTCCGACTCTGGCTCAGGTCATGATCTCAGAGATCGTGTCTTCAAGCCCCACAATCCCGCTTGGGATTCTTGGGATTCTCTCTCTGCCCCTACCTAGCTCGTGCTTTCTCTCTCTCTCTGAAAATAAATAAACTTAAAAAAAGATTTTTGTTTTAAGTAATGTCTGCACTCAACATGGGGCTCAAACTTGCAACCCAAGATCAAGAGTTGCATGCTCCACTGACTGAGCCAGCCCGAGGTGCCCTTAACCGGTACTTTTAAAACTAGAGTTCTTCATTCCTCTACTTTTATTCTTTACTCTGATGCAGAGTTAGATTTGAAGACTGGAAAATCATCAGGAAGGTAAGTGGCCATAAGGAAAAATAAAACCCCCATCAGGAGAGAGATAAAACATACAGACATTTAAACATTTAAGAGCACGATTTAAAACAACTCCCAACTCAACTATACCATATTACATAGACCACAGAATTCTCCAGGAAAACCTATGTCTCTAGATGTGGAAATTTTAACTTTATATTTTATTACCATAAAATTAACTAAAAAACCCCAAAACTAACTAAAGATAAGCCTCAATATTCACCTGGTCTGGATCCATGAAAGTAACTCCAGAAAGACACAACTACTAATTCTGGAGCTCCTCTGCTACAAGCATTAGACATGATTGTAACAGACACATTTTAGGGTAATTTCCCTTTCCATATCTCTTCTCCAAAAATGTGACTTTATTCCTCATTGGCTCCCGCTAATTCAAACAAGGCAAGTAGATTATCAGCTGGGCTGGGTCAATCAGACTATTCCTGGGGACTTTGGAATCAGGACAAGTCATTGTGGTGAGGCTCTGAGAACCCTGAACAGGGTGGACTGGTAAGGGTGAGCATGCCAGGATCATATGTAAAACCAGGAAAAACCTATTACAGAAAGTTGGTCTGTAAACAGAGAACAAACAAAGGACAAATGGGCACTGAGCTATGATTGATAGGAAACCATGAACTTGAGGGAGGTACTGTGATAGGAGGAGGAGAGGGTGGTGCCATCTTACTGGCTAGTCAACTTGCCTTGGTATCTGCCACCTTTTTAGGGCTCAGTTACAGTCCTGGCTACACTTTACGTCCTTGGGTTGCATGACCTTCTCTTTCTTTCACTGGCTGAGTTTGTCTAGATGTTTCTGTGACTTATAATTCAAAGAATTCTGACTAGACACAGTCTTCTCATTTCAATCCTTAAAAGGAAAGTTTGGAGAGGTCAGGAGACAGGCCCAAAGTTCCACAGCTGGCCAGTGAGAGGTTCTGTATTCATGTTTAGTTTTTTCCGCTACTGCTGCCTGTAAATCTCTTACTTTCGGACCACATAAGAATAAGAAATAAAAGGGGCACCTGGGTGGCTCAGTGGGTTAAATGTTTGACTTTGGCTCATGGCTTGTGAGTTCGAGCCGCACACTGGGCTCCATACTGCTGGTGCGGAGCCTGCTTGGGATTCTTTCCCTCCCTCCCTCCCTCTCTAAAAAATAAATAAAAACTTAAAAAAACACAAGAATTAAAAACATTGCTAGAGACCCTGACTTTTAGAAGACGTTTTCCCCTCTAACCAGTGAAAGTGATGGATAGGAGCAATTACACTCACCTGGACCAGTTCTATAGCTGTGGAAGAAAAATCACAACAGTAAACAAAGAGTCCTGGATCACTGAAATGGGCAGAAAAACAGTAGAACGATTAAGACTATAAAGTGAATTGTGTCTGTTCTCTTTCCTGTGTAGCAGAGGTTAAAATATTAAAGACACCATATATTAACAATGGAACAGGTTTTGAATCTTACTAATTTTCCTGATGACAAAGATAACTTAGAAATCAAATTAAATCAAGATCATTAAAAAAAAAAAAAATCCAGGGGCGCCTGGGTGGCGCAGTCGGTTAAGCGTCCGGCTTCAGCCAGGTCACGATCTCGCGGTCCGTGAGTTCGAGCCCCGCGTCGGGCTCTGGGCTGATGGCTCGGAGCCTGGAGCCTGTTTCCGATTCTGTGTCTCCCTCTCTCTCTGCCCCTCCCCCGTTCATGCCTTGCCTCTCTCTGTCCAAAAAAAAAAAAAGGTTGAAAAAAAAAAAAATAAAAAAAAAAAAAAAAAATCCAGACCATAAATCCGATCTCCCGTCACCCATGGTGCCCAATAACCACTGTTGCCAGTTTGCTGGAGTAAGTTCTGAGAAACAACACAGCCCTTTCTCTGTGCGGTCACACAGTTAAACTTTAAACACACTTACTTGTTAGTTTGTAAAACCGGAAAGACTGTGTTTCCCACACCACAACCAACCTGCAGACAGAAATGAACTTTTAGTTACAGGATTTTCCAAAAAATTAATTCCTGGAGCTAGATAAATAATCAATAATCTTGCCTCCTAACTCCATTAGGGAAGGTGTGGTGACCAGAGCTAAATAGTACCCATGCCGTTCCCTGACCTTGACCTCAGAAAGTCTAAAAGAGGCAGCCATAGAAGACTTTGAAAGCATGGGCTTTCAACAGCAGAAGGGAGTTGGTATGGAAAAAAGGGCATAGATTGCTTTTACTTTTTCAGTTTTAGCAAACAGTCCTATAGATGAAATATTTTCTTACTGAACTGCACTATATCATTATTGGAAAAAATGTTTCTAATTGACTAAGCTGAAAAATTTATGAAAAGGGGACCACAAATAAGATTAGTCTGGGTGTGGTAATAATAAAAACAACCACCATATACTAAGGACTCACTACTTGCCAGACACGATTCTAAGCCATTTTACATATGTTACCTCAATGTATGCAATCCTCGTTAACTATGAGGCAGACAGAGAGGCAGAGGTCCCGTTCCGCCTGGGGAGGGTAAGGGACTACTGACAAGGTCATGCAGGAAGTATACTCAACGCTAGGGTAATCTGCTTCTGGGGGAGTGTATAGTCACCGTCTGGCCTCAGCCACATCACCCCAACTAGGAAGACAAGAATTCTCCCATGCCGGAGAAGCAGGCACCCTCCCAACTAACCCCTCCATGTTCTAACTGTATTACAAGAGAAGTAAGTAAAAGACTTTGTCTTGTGACTTGGGACCCTTTTCTAGGTGGTAGGTACAGCACGATGCTACAACGTTCAGGGCAGTACGACGTTCCCAAGTAGCACCCCAGGTGATGTATCTGTGTGCTATAACCACCAAATATCTGGTCTGAATTTAGTACATAACGTTATCTAAAAAAAAAAAAAAAAAAAAAAAGGAGGTGTTTCTAGGCCAATATAGGAGTCAAGTCCAGGCACCTTCTTCACCACTTTTGTGGTCAGCCTCCCTAGGCCACCCACGTGTACGACAGCCTCATTAACCCCATTATCAGGACAATAAAGGGGGGTTACCTCAAGTATTCGGTAGGTGGCTGAGGATCCAGGGAACTCATCAGCACAGATTTCCAGGTGATTGAATTTCTGAGTTACATTTCCTTCCACAGGAGCTGTCTGTGTTTCATGTTCAAGACTATTTGAAGAACACTTGTGCTGTTCTATTTTTAAACCAGGTCCATCCTCACTGGTCCTACATTCAGGTACTTCACTCCTCTTGTTGTCGGAGGGCAAATCCTCCAAGTGATCTTGGCTTTGGCCTGGTGCCAGCTCTGGGAATTCGGTAAAAAGCCAGTGTCTATCCTTGAAAAACCCGTTTTCGTGGATTTTGTAGAAGTCATTCCAATACTTGTGGGCATTTATTTCATAATCAACTGTGAACATTAAGGGAAGAGTTTGAAAAACCATCTCTCAGGATTTTATTTGTCCCTAATGTCATATACCATTCTGTCTCACTGAATGTCATTTTATACTAAAAGTATCCTCAAGCAGAGCCATTGTCTCAGAGCTGGAAATCTTTTAGTCCTACCATGTACCCTACCTGAACTCCCTCTGCATCCTGTCCTTCTAGGGAGTCCAGCTTCTGCCAGCGAACTTACTACCAATTCTCCACCCACATCTTTGGGTGGCTCTTAACTACTAGAAAATTCTAACATTAAGCAAAAAATCTGTCTTTTGATCAAAAAGTCCTATTTCATTTCTTCTTCTTTTTTTAAAGTTCTACTACTTCTTAGGGCCATACAGAACAACTCTTGCATTTAAGGGCAGTTATTTCCACCTCTAAATTTTCTCTTTTACAAGTGAAACGTCCCAGGTTCTTCAGTTATTCCCCATGTAAACTCAATGGTTATGATACATGCAGCTCTTCTTAAAATACACTCCCGTCTGTGGCTCTTCAGAGTGTGGAGCTAAGAAATGAATTCAGTAATACCACAAGATACTAAAAAATAGAAACAAGGCTAAAAGGAAAGGAGAAATGCGGACAAGAGAGACTCGAGAAGGGTAGACTGTTTACGCTGTAGTCTAAGGTGATCAAGGCAGTGTTAGACTTGAGTTTTGTTTTCTTTTTCTTTCTTTCTTTTTTTTTTTTTTTAAAGGCTTCAGTTTTTGGTTCTTTGCCAGACCTTGACTAGTGTAGTAGAAATGAATACAAATCTAAGAAATTGGATTTTAGTTCCACCCTTGCTACTACTAACTAACTGCTTACCTCTGGGAAAGGCACTTAATGTCCTGTGGTCCAAGTTTCTTTAACTGTAAAAAGAGGATATTGGACTACATGATTTTCAAAATCCCTTTCAACTCTAACCTGCACTGATCTAGTCTCTGTCAAAGCATGTAAAGTGAGTATTTTGCAACTGGAATCTTCTAATTGTTACACTGAACTGTGGGATTGCTACCCTCTCAGTTCCTAGTCCTACTTTCAATTGTCTTTTAGGAAAAAGGCCCAATCAGTACTAGTTTTAGTACCCAGAGATACTCTGCAGTGAAATCATCCACCTCTCCAGAAGGGGCCTGTTTTTCTTTGGCCAGACTTATCTACACTCTGCTTCACCCAGCTCTCCTCGGCAGAAGCCTTAAATCCTCACAGCGAAGAAAAGACACATTCACCAGTCATTGGCTTCCTCCCCCAACAACATTGGGAATCAGATCACTAGAATCTAGCTTCAATCACATTTCCTCAGTAAAAGTGCAATCACATAGAGAAAGCACAGCCTCTAAGCCAATCACGTGACCACACGGTTGACGAAGGCGAGTCACATTAACATGGGTCTAGACAACGTAACTAAAACTTGCTAGAAAATATCAAGATACACTTACTCTCAAATAAAGCCCAAAACAAAACTCCCTGTTTGCTCTAACAAGATTTTAGGGTGACGCCCTTTTCCGTCCTAACCCCCCCCCCCGTTCTACCCCCGAGTTCGGTATCAGTCCAGTAACAAAGACTCTTGGCGGTCTCGGTTCTCTGCCTCTCGTGGACAGTGCGTTCAGCAGTACACTGGCTGCAGATACCACCGAGGGCCCACCTGGGCGCACCTTGCTTCTCCTGGCACACTCGCTGGGTACTGTTCTCCCGGACTTTCCTCTCCGCCGCCGCGGCCTGCTCTTCCGACCACTCAACATTGTCCCTGGGAAAATCAAACGGGCAGCTTAGAGGCCTCACGTTCCAGCCGCGCGCGGGCAGGGTGAGTCGCTGGCCCCGGAGCGCCTCTCCCACGGGAGGAGAGCGCCTCAAGCAGGGCAGCGGGACTCGTGGCCGGCGGTCAGGGGCTTCTCGCAGCGCCCGGGGCGGCGGGCCAGAGGGCGGGCCGCAGGCCAGGCGAGGGGCAGGGCGGTTACCAGGCATTATGGTGGAAGACGCGCGCCGGATCGCTCAGGAACCGGCTCCCAAACTGCTGCCTCTTCTGGCCGACGGCAGCGGGCGCGCACTCGGCGTAGGGACCAGCCATGACACCGGAGCCGGATATGCTTACTTTTCCGTAAAGAGAAAACTTCCTGCGGAGCCACGCCCCCTTCCGGAAGTCGCGGCGTCTGGGCGGGAAAGGACCAGGGCAGGGCGGGGCGCGGCAGTCCCCTGTGGGGGTTGGTGCTCGAGCTCCGCCCACTGGGGCGGGGCCTGAGTTGGGGATGGGGTTGGGGAATGGGGCGGGGCGTACTCTGGCCGAATGTCTTCTCGGAGTGGGTTTCCTACTCCCCATCCCTTGCCAGGAGGCCCTAGTGGTCTTGCGGGCCCGCAAGAAAGTGGGAGACATTAATTAAGCTTGAGCCTCCTCTCTATGCTGGGGTCCTCTAGCAGGTTCCCCCGTTTCCCTCAAAAATTTAAAAAATGTTTATTTATTTTGAGAGAGAGAAAGAGAGAGAATGGGGGAGGGGCAGAGGGAGACAGAGAATCCCAAGCAGGCTCCGCAGTGTCAGTGCAGAGACTGATGGGGGGCTTGATCTCCTGAACTGCGAGATCATGACCTGAGGAGAAATCAAGAGTCTCACGCTTAAATGACTGAGCCACCCAGGCACCCCTCCTTCAAGTTTTAAGACGGGAAAAATCACTTTGAGAATTAAAGGTAGCTAGTCCCATGGAGCTTATGGTCAGAAGAATTTGAGGAAGGTAGCAAGCTGGCAGAGGAAATCTGACAGTTTTCCAGCTTCCATTGTCAGCTTTTTGTAGTGTGAAAAGCTATGAAAAAAAAAAAACCACAACGATTTTTCTGGGAGGAGGATATGAAATGAATTCTGAGAGCTCAAGGTTTATCTGTTTAATCAAATGGAATATCCATCCAAGGACAAGTTAAAAAAATTTTCGTAACCACATACTTTTTGGAATTATCCATATCCGAGCTTATTCACACAATCGGGATTGTAGTGCAAACACACATAGTTTGTTATGTTCATACATTTTCAGCCTTCCATTTCTATTTTGATAATTACTACAAACTGATTCTCGAAAGAAAGCATGCTGTCTGCACAAGGTTAGTTGAGAAGAGTTCCAGGAGAGTAATGATTACCATCTGGAAGAAGATAAGGAAAGCGTTAATTAGTTACTTAGATGGTGCATTACTAGACTCAGCACACGGGTACCCAGTTGTTTCCTTCATTGCAGATTCTTTCCATACGCAAAACTGAGGGGAGCTATGAGAGGTTCTGTATCTTTCTCAGAAAAGAAACTGGAACAGGCCCTAAATCCTCCTTAATCACAAAGAAAAATATGTGAGTGAATTGAAAAGATAAGAGAGTAGAGAATTTGTACTTTATTTGAAAACACTTTTGCCATTCTCATGGTCTTTTGAAATATTTTGAACAAGACCTCCTCTCCAAAAAACAAGTGACGAGGATTTTTATAGTTTCTCGAGGCCAGTTGTTTGACATAGTGGTTGATTTATATGTATTCTTGGCATCCTGTTGTCTCTTCTACACTCGTTTTTCTCCCCACACCAAAAGCTATTCATGCTCCTAATCAACGTTCTCACTGCAGAGTTTCTTGCAGGGAGCTCACTCTGTTTTCACTTGAAGTCACTTACTCTATTAATTCCCATAACTAGTCATTTAAAATGGCAAACAACTTGGGCCCTTTTGGTGAAATGGGAGAAAAGTATCCTGAATTTTCGTACAATTATCTTTGGTTGACCTGTACAACTCATGTTTCTCCATCTTTTGAAGCACCTGAAGTTATTTTTCTGCAGAAATTTGGAAGACGTGACTCTGAGTCCTCCGTGCTACCAGACTTCACGCTGGACTGTATCTTCAGCAAGCAAAACTTTTCAGGGGAGTTAAGGGTCCCTCTGCTGGTGAGCTGGAAGAGCTCTTCCAGCTGGGTGGCATGGGTTCAAAGCCTGGAAAGGTTAACAACTCTCAGTCTGGATCATTGCCTTGGGTGTCAACCTGGGACGTGGGTAATTATTTCATTCTTTTCTTTAAGTTCCAGTCAGTGGAAATTCCGGCCTGTGTAAGCATGTGCTCTGGAACTGAAAGTGGGGGAAGGGACCCCGGTGTCCTGATTTGCTCTCCTTAAAGTTTCACAGAACATGTAGCAGGCCTAGATAATTGAATAAGCTGATTTAACAAATTTAAACAGGCTTTTGTGTTTTTTTTCTTATTGCAAAATAAATGTTTATTGTAGAACATTTAGACAAAAGAAAAAAGAAACTACCCCATTCCATCCTTAATTTAACCCATTAAATACTTTGGTTTAAAAAAAAAAAAACACTGGTGTATACCTTCCAGTCTTTTCTTTTTTCTTATGTATTTATAGAAGTAACTTTTAAATTACAATAGTTTCAGAACCACTTTATGCCCTCTTATTTTACAACTTCATTGAGGTATAGTTTACATATAATTAAATTCACCCATTTTAAGTGTACCGTTTGATAAGTTTTCATAAAAATCTATCTTTGTGCAACTACAATCATACTTAGGTTCTAGAACAATCCCATACAGCCTTCTCATGGCTCTGAGCAGTTGTAGCCTATTTTATAACCTGATGATAGCTTGTAATATCATTCTTTTGTTTGAATGGTCTTTTCTAACATCATTTTAATTTATAGAACTGTACCATGACTTACTGGACGTTTAGGCAACTTTAAAATCCAACACGATACACATCCTTGTAACTAAATCATTTTGTATATTCATGATTATTTCTTTAGGAATAATGTCTAGAAGTGGAAGTAGTGAGTCAGTGGTTATAATTAGCTGGATTACTAAGCTGTGAGGTCAGGGCATTTTATCTGTTTGTTCACTGTTATATCCAGGTCCTAGAACAAGGTCCAACACATAGTATGCAACTCAGTAAATGTTGAATAATGGGTGCCTGTCAGTTAAGCATCCGACTTCGGCTCATGATCTCACTGTTTGTGAGTTCAAGCCCCGCGTCAGGCTCTCTGCTGTCAGCACAGCGCTTGTTTCAGATCCTCTGTCCCTCTCTCTCTGCCCCTCCCCCTCTTGTTTGCACGTGCTCTCTCAAAAATAAACATTAAAAAAATAATTGTTGAATGAATGGCCGAGTACCTATTGCTATACTGACAAGATGCCAGTTTATACTGTCACTACAGTATGTGACAATTTGATAGAAAGACTGTGTTACTGTACATTTTAGATTTTCCAGGACAGATATGCTTAAGAATATTCTTTCCTGTTATCTCATTGATCCAAGAAAATATTTCAGGAATTCTAATTTTGGCATCCAAATTACATCTCTTAGATTGCCTATTACGGTCATAGCCATACCAAAAAAAGAAAAAAATCTGTCAAACCATAAATCTTATTCTTCAGGTAAGAAACATGGCCACTTGTCAATAAGCTTCTTTTTCTCAACATCGTAACATTGTAAAGAATGGCAAATATATTTAGACAGTTTTGACTCTTCAAGGTAACACAAATTTACTTCAAGACTGTTTCATTAAACAGTTCTAGGAGACTTCACTATTTTCATTGCTTTTTTCTGGCATGTTATGATTTTATATTATAAGCCACTGTCCCCATCAATGTGAAACATGTTTTTTCCTTTTTCTAACAGGAAAAAATAATGTAATGGATGATATACACCTAAATGTGATTAAAATAGTAAATTTTGTGTGTAGTTTTCCACAATAAAAATTATAACTACCAAACGTGTAATATAGTTACATATGTGCATCTTTATTAAATGCATTAAAGAACAAGTGTAATGGATGAGATAAACTTTAAAAAAAAATTTATGTTTATTTATTTCTCAGAGAGAGAGACAGAGCATAAGCAGAGGAAGGGCAGAGAGAGAGGGAGGCACAGAATCTGAAGCAGGCTCCAGGCACTGAGCAGTCAGCACAGAGCCCGACGTGCTGCTTGAACCCAAGAACCGTGAGATCATGACCTGAGCCGAAGTCGGGTGCTTAACCGACTGAGCCACCCAGATGCCCTGAAAACAACATCCCTTTTTAAAAGGTATCCAAGAGATCAGCCTGAAGATGTGTGGCTAAGGAGCCTTAGGAACACCCAAATTTAATCAAGATTCCCTGGGAGATGGTGATATTATTCCCTGGAACTGAAGGATCATTGTCATCTGCTGTCTTTGGCCTCTTTTACAAATAATCAAAAACCTAGTGCCACTTACAGTCACATAAACTAAGAGGCACGTTACAGGGAGAGCCCCTAGGGGCTCACAGAGGCCCTTAAGGTAAGCGCACATCTCAGGTTTTCTCCTCGTGCCCAGGCCGTTTTGAGCCAGGTGGGGGCAGCAGAGTGCAGTTGTTTGCTGGGGAAAAAAACCACATGACCTCTGTTTACTAGGTAAGAATTAGGAAAGGGAAACCACATTATGACTTAAACATTTTTACTGGTCAGAATTCAAAAGATGTCAACATTTCCAGCTGCTAAGAATGTACTAGACAAAAGCAAGAAACCACAATTTTGATATCTATGAAAAAGTAGTTTGCAGTGAGCTGTTTAGAAAATGTAGAAATCTCATCGTCGAAACCCTTTGAAACCTTTCCGTTTTCGTTTTCTTCCTGTGTCTGTGTCACATTCACTGATATCCGAGGAAGAAGAGAATACAGAGTTGTGGAAGGTATGCCTATTCATGTAGGCATCATATAACCTTAAGTCCTTTGGTGAAAGTAATTCTTGGCAAACATTCCAGGACCATGTGTAAGTAGAAAAGGTATCATAAAAGGACTCATTTTTAGTGTCTATTCCAATCAAATCCCCTCGGATCTTCTGCCAGAGGTTTAGCATGTCTTTCCGGTGCTCCAGGGCAATTCCCAAGTTATAGGTATCTATAGCTCTCTTCACCTGCAGTGAGAGAGCAGAAGTTGGCAGTAGTTACCTTAACATATCTTTGACTTATGGACCACAATTCTAGATATCCTAAGAGTTACATTCCCAGGCTGGTTGAACATCACTGAGTTTACACATTGGTAGGACCTTTTGAGGACACGCAAGTTAGGAGTTGATGGACAATCGAAATGTATGATTTGGGAATAATGAGAGAAGAAATGTTATGAGAATAT